TGGGGTACGAATCACGAATTAGGTTATCATGGTGCGAGTTCAGATTGTGTCGGGGACGGGTTGGGGTTGTGAGGTTGTTATTAGTTGGGACGTAAGGTAGGGGAGATGGGGAACGAGGCAATGAGAGAGAGAGAGAGAAAGAAAGAAAATGAGATCACAGACATGTAGCTCGTAACCGGTCAACGGTGATCAAGGCGGGGGGCTAGGCCGCGAAAATCGTCCCGTAGACTTGATAAATTTTGACATGCTGGGGAGCAGTTTGGGGTGGGTGAGGAGCGATGAGAGATGTAGGGTACCGAAGTGGCCGATTGGACGACAACGGTTTGCCTTTGGCACTACATATACGCAGTTTTTTTTTTTCTCCGCTGGAACTCGCCGCGAACGACACCTAGGTTCCGAACCATCAGCGGATACTCTAGATAATCAACAAGTGGCTTCAGCGATCACCGGTCTATTTCGAAATCGACAACTCCCCAACTCTTGTCCTCACCCACGTGATGAACACCCACGCCGGCTTCAGCGCTTTCCTCAACAAAAAGCTCAACGGCTATCTGAAGCGGTTGTTCGATAGATGGGGCATTTACCTCACGACGCCCGCCTCCGCCAATGTCCTCACTGCGGGCAAGGGCGGTGGGTTCAGTAAACTCACACTAGCAGGCATGATGGAGCATTTTACGGGTCTCACCTTCGAGCAAGTCTTTGTGTCCTATCCCGCCGCGCCGCACTACGGGTTCACATGCTGGAATGACCTTTTCACCCGCAAACTGCGCTCCGGTATCCGCCCCGTCGAACACCGAGAAAGCCCAGACATCATTAGCGCAGCGTGTGAGAGCCAGTATTACAATGTTGCCACGAACATGAAGGAGCGCGACACGTTCTGGCTCAATGGCCAGTCGTACTCGTTGCGGGACATGCTGGCCCACGATGAGTTATATCAGGGATACCTGCGGGTCACCTACTACCACCGCTGGCACACACCCGCCGCCGGGGTCGTCAAGAAAATTGTTGCAGTTCCCGGGGCGTATTTTTGCCAATCGCCTGCGATGCTTCAGTCGCCCATCCCGTTGGATGCGCCGTTCGACACCCTCCCGATCTCCAATTCCCTGTCCTTCTTGCCATAGTGAGCCCACGTCTCCTCATGTTCATCGAGGCAGAGGACCCGCGCATCGGCCTGTACTGCTTCATCGTCATCGGGATGCAGGAGATTTCTACGGCGGTGCCGACGGTGAAGGAGAGGCAATGGGTGAAGCGAGGGGAAGAGCTGGGGACGATTTTCTATCGGCGCAGGTACAGATGTGGAGGTGCTCGAGCATGGTGATGCTGTGGGCGTGCATGGGCGCAGGAAGGAGGAATCTGTGGGGCGGAGTACCCCAGCTGTGGACACTGGAGGAGGCGGTGTCCGTGGCTGTGGACGGGATGCCTCCTGCGGACGTAGCCTCGAGCGCTTCTCCATTGCCCGACGAGGAGACGCTGCCACCTGCAGATGTGGATCCTTCGGAAGTACATGGCGAATCTTCCGCGGATAATGCGGTGTACGACCACGCGCGTGTGGATAGCGAGGACGCGCTCCTTCTGACTGTCGGTGAGGAGGAGCAATCTGACCGTCGTCCGCGAGCTCAAGCCCAAGCACGATCTGAGAAGCCTGAGGAGCCTGAAGTGACGCTGGAGATTCCGCCGCATGTCCTCGTGGAGGAGAGACGGCCTCCATGCCCGTCGAGCCCGATGTGTCACCCGGGTGTCACTCTCACCATGCAAGCGTGTTTTCTCGCTTCGCTTTGCTTGCCTCGAAAGTCTAATATTTACTCTACCTTTAATTTTGGCAACACTTCAATGCAGTTCATAGCGGATGATAATCAATCCATCAGTCGACTTGATTTCTACAATTCCGGTACTACGTGCTGGAATTCAGGTCTGTGATTAGGCTGTCCGATGAAGGGAATGAAGGGAAACGGCGGGGTGGGGGGGACGAAGCAAGTATAAAGCACGAAGAGCTACGGAGGAGACAAGCCTTAGATGGGAGGGGGAGAGAAATATACGAGGAACGAAGCAAGCAAAATACACCTTGCCGACCCGCCTCCTCAAATCCACCCGCTCCACTTTATCGTGGCACACAAATCCGATCAGCATGCTCGTGTCAAGCTCCGGCAGCGGTATCTTGCGCACGCGCGAGCAGCTCGGCCGCGCGCACGTAGTGCGCCGCCTCAGCCTCGGCGCCTGCCTGTGCCCCTGCGCGTGCACAAAGTCTGGGCTCATCGACCCCCCGCGGCGCCGGCGCGTCAAGGAGCCAAGAACCAGGAAAAGACACGCGCACGCGTGACGCGGGGCGAGGACGGCGGGCGCACGCGTCTACGCAGCGAAGGAGATGGATGTGGGGGGATCTGGATGAGAAAGAGGGTGTCAGTATGTGGCGGACGATGAGGGAAGCGAAGAAGACGGAAAAATGGGCGCGAACGCAGCAAGGCAAGGGTGCAGAGGGACGCCGCATGGAGTACCAGGGAGGCGCGGCGCAGAGTGTCGAGCTCGTGCCCGCAGTCGCGACCGAAAGAGATAAAGAAGTCACCACACGCCGCTCGTTCACCCCTCTCGTGTCCCACCACCTCGTGCTGCTGGCCAACTGCTGGCACTGCTGATATCGTTGGAGTATGAGTTGATGCTGCTGTAGCTCGTGTAGGATGAACATCTGGAAACTGGACCTGGTCTATTCGTGTCTGTACGGTCTGTCACAGACTTCCCTAGTCTGTGACAGACCGTACAGACATCTACAGACACGCCACAGACACGGATAGTGGAGAGGCATTCCCAGATGAATGCGACGAGGGGCACTAATCGGATTCGCTGGGTGAATGCGGGCCGGCAGGAGAAGGAGAGGCTGGAGCGCGCTTAACCCGCGCGGTAGGCGCACCAAGTGCAATGTACGGCGAAGATTGGGTCATGAGACAGAACGAGGAACGAGAGATGGAGTTTGTCAAGAGAGACTAGACGAGGTGTGCGCGTGTTTGACTGGCGTGCGATCGGACCGATCGCCGACTTCTTCCTGCCGAATACTCCAATCGGGCCATTCCTCATTCTTGTCTACGACACGTCCTCTGTTCTGTGAGATGAACCGCGTCAAGGATCGGAAAAGCTGGAACCTCGGGCGTCGGTCGAAGGTTGGGCCAGTCACGTGAGGAAAAGTCTACCCGGAGCGTAAATGTCGGGGGGCCAAGCGGGATATCGAAAGAGAGGCGGAGAATATAGACACACGTGGGCGGGACGAATACCGCGCCAGGTGTAGAGCAGACGGGAGCGGCTGCGCAGGTATAGAGCGAGGGCACGTCCGTCTAAATGATCCTCTCTCCATGATAGTTGTTCGGCAGGGAACACTCGGATCCCGACGCATACACTGATGAGTTCAGAATAATTATGTCGCCCCATAAGTAAGATCTTTCTATCACTCTCTGTATACCACAGTCGAACAAGAGTTAGAAATGGTAGCATGGTGTACGGTGCGCGCGGGGGTCCTATATGCAATGTAGTCGAGGAATTTCACCGAGATCCTCGTTCGATTCGAGGCGCTGCTATATACTTGAGCTTCCCATGTTTTATTTGTTTCGCTCACCAATTTCTAGCACCCCACCGATCTCAAAACAGAATAAAGAAAGCAGTATGGTGTATCGTGCACGCGGGGTTCCCTTATGATGGGGCACTTGTCTGTGATCCCCGAGGTCCTCGTTCGACTCGAGGTGCTGCTCTCAGTCTTGAGGATTTTCAACTCTTTTATTCCTGGACTCAGAAATTTTGCTAGCACCTCACCAAGGTCAAAAAAAGGTAAGAGAGGCTGTATGGTGTATTGTGCATGCGGGAGTCTCGTACGGCGTAGGTAAATGGATTAACCACGAGGTCCTCGTTCGCATCGAGGTGCTGCTCTTCTGTATCGTTGCAAGAATTATTCCTTGACTCGATAATTTTGCCGGCAGTAAAACAACCTTCAAACAGGTCCAGTAAGTAGTATGGTGTGTCGTGCACACGGGGTTCCATTAAACAAAGTCCCATGGGATTTCCCCGAGGTCCTCGTTCGATTCCAGGCCCACCGTCCCACAATTTTTTGTCTCTCGGCTCACCTATTTTGCTAGCGCACGACCAGCTCCGAATGAGGGTAAAGAAAGTATGGTGTATCGTGCATACGGGTTTCTCGTCGCAGTAATTGAATTATTAGCCCCGGGATCTTCGTTCGAATCGAGGGTACTGATCTGGGTCCGGTGTTCGAAACAGTTTTATTTCATTGCTCACCAATCTTATAGCACTAACCCAAGTACAAAGAAAGGCAAGGGAAGCAGTATGGTGTATTCCGCACACGGGGTCTCTCAGTGGCAGGAAGAACCAAGATTAACCCCGAGGTCCTCGTTCGAGTCGAGGTACTGCTCTGCTATGAATCGACGTGGCCTCGCCTTTTTATCCCTCACCTCATCCATTTTTCTAGCACCCCATCAAGCACAAAACATGGTAAAGGAAGCATTATGGTGTATCGTGCACCCGGAGTTTCCTTAAACGGGTCGGAAAATGTACCCCCGAGGTTCTCGTTCGATTCGAGGTGTTACTCTGCCCTGAGTCTACCAATCTTTTTATTTCTTTGCTCACCAATTTTCTAGCACCTCACCCACTCCGAGATAAGATACAGGAAGCAGTATGGTACGGCGTGCACACGGGGCTCTTTTAGGATGAGATAGGAGTACACCCTGAGGTTCTCGTTCGATTCGAGGTACTGCTCTTCCATCCCCACTTCATTTTGTTCGTCACCTCACCAGATTTTGCTAACACCCAACCGAGTTCAAAACAGGGGAATGAACGCAGTATGGTGTATCTTGCACACGGAGCTCTCTTAGAAAAGGTCCGAGAAGAATAATCCCCGAGGTCCTCGTTCGAGTCGAGGTACTGCTCTGGTACGATGGCGGCCTCGCCTTTTTATCCCTCACCTCACCCATTTTGCTAGCACCCCACCAAGCACAAAACATGGTAAGGGAAGCAGTATGGTGTATCGTGCACACGGGGTTTCTTTGAACGGGAGGAAATATACCCCCGAGGTCCTCGTTCGAATCGAGGTACTGCTCTATTTTGGGTCGACCAGTCGTTTTATTTCTTACTCCGAAATAAGAAGCAGTATGGTGTAGCGTGCACACAGGGCTCTCTTAGGATGAGATAGTAGTACACCTTGGTTAGCACGCCAAGCCCGAGGTCCTCCTCGTTCAATCCGAGGCGTGATTGTGTTGAGTACATACATATTTTTATTCCTTGGCTCACCAATTTTACTAGCACCCCACCAAGTCAGAAATAGAGAAAGGAAAGCAGTATGGTGTATTGTGCACGCGGAGCTCTCATATACAATTGGAGAATGAATTTACCCCGAGGACCTCGTTCGAATTGAGGTGCTGCTATTCGACGTCTGTCGCTTCTTTTAATTCCTTGGCTCACTAATTCTCTAGTACCCCACCGACCTCAAAACAGGGTAAGGAAAGCAGTATAGTGCATCAAGCACACGGGGGCTCCCTACTAGGTCGGTGAAGGGTACACTCCGAGGTCCTCGTTCGATTCGAGGTACTGTTCTAGCCGAGCCTCTTGTTCTTTTTACTTCCCAGCTCACCAATTTTCTAACAGCCCACCAGCCATAAACCAGGGTAAGAGAGGCAGTATGGTGTATCATGCGCACGGGGTTCTCTTTGAATGAGGGAAAGCTCATCCCCGAGAGCTTCGTTCGAATCGGGGTGCTGCCCTGATTGGCTTGTACAGTATGATTTTTATTTCCTGGCTCACCTATGTTTTGGCACACCACCGAGCACAACATGTGGTTCCTGTAGTGGTTGCTGCAATGAGTAGCCCTGAGCTTCTCCTTCGAGTCGAGCTGCTCTGGATTTGCACGTCCTATTCTTATAGCTCAAGCTCTAATCGCCCCGAGGTCCTTGTTTACTCACCAATCTTATAGCACTAAACCAAGTACGAAACAAAACAAGGGAAGCAGTATGTATGGTGTATTCCGCACACGGGGGTCTCTTACAGGCAGCTTGAACCTAGATCAACCCCGAAGTCCTCGTTCGAATCAAGATGCTGCTCTTTTCCTGCTGTCTCTTTTTATAATGAACTATCCAGGTCAGGACTTTCTAGCACCCCGCCTACCTCTAAACAGGGCAAGCAATGCCGTATGCTGTATTCTTTACACGGGGCTTCCCTTTGCAGAGGATGAATTCTTTTTTTGGGAGGGCCCCGAGGACGTGCTGCTCTAATACCGTTGTCGGTGATTCTTTGAATTTGTGAACCTTGTCACACCGACCATCTACAAGCCGCACACGCACAACTAGTGATGGACCCGCTTTGGCCTGAGGCCAAAAAGCCGGGGCTTTTTGGCTTTGGTACCAAGGCCAAAGCCAAGCCAAAATGTTGGCCTGAGATGGCTTTTGGCCTGGCCTTGCATTTGGTCGGGCCAAAGCCAGGTCAAAAAGCCGTGGCTTTTGAACCTTTCCCCCTACACTGAAGAGACTCAAAAAACTAACAAAATGCCCACTCACATACAATGCACATAACACATTTCAACCAATTTCCATCATTCCGGCCGGCATATACGATGTTTCCCACCACAAATTCCCGAAGAAGACCTGAAGAAGAGCTAAGAAATATCAAATATCAAATTTACGAGCTCTGTTGGACTTTAAATCCATCCCAGGGTACTTACGTACCTTGGGAAAGACAGATTTCGGGTACCAACAATTATTTGTGACACTGTGAGTCTTCCATTTTGTACGATTTACAACTTGGTGAAAAGCCGTGGCTCAGGCCAAAGCCAAGCCGGACCAAGCTAAAGCTAAATGTGGTGGCCCGGCCTGGTAATTCACGGGGTCAAGACCACTTCAAGCCGGGCCAAAGCCACGGCTTCCAGACCAAGCCAAAGCCTGTCCACCACTACGAGCAACGAACGGCGAACGCGCCGCCGTCTCCGGGCGTGCGGCATGCAGGCGTATCTGAGGTTTTAATATATCGCGAGCCTCTGGTGTGAGGAAGCACCGCCGCCCACTGCCCGCGGCGCGACATGTCGAAGAACGCGTCCCAATGCCCTCAAAGCACGCTTCCGCCGACCAGAGATCAATCAACAGCCTGCCGACGGGTGTTATCGCGGCATTTTGAAGCACCGTACGCGTTCTCCCACCACGGATAGGCTTCCTTGACGCGCTAAATTGACCAGCATCACCTCCAACGCGCATCCGTTCATCGCCAACGACTGAATTCACATGCACCAGCTTCGGTAGAGCGCCAATAATCCGGATCCACGTTCCCCGCCCCCGAATCGCCGCCGAAACGCGTCAAACTTAAGTTTGACGCGTACACCACGCGTCTGGTGCCCAACGAGGCTCCAGCCAACACTCTCAACGGTAAAACTCGGACTCTCACCGAGGGAAACACGAAGTGCATGGAATCCTCTCCGATTCTGACTCGGATGTGTTATCAGACTCGGAAGAGCTTACTGGGCTTCGCGATTCGGGGGAGGGAAACACAGCCGGTAAGTGAACTGTTTATTTACCGAGTTCATGCGACCAATTTGCCAGATCCCCGTGAATCCTCGCCTCTCCCGTGTCTGAGATGCAAAGCGGAACATCTTAAACAGCAACAGGTATGCCGAATCACCCTTGCAGAATGCATCTGATTCTTTCGTCGCCTTGGATTTCGATAGCTCCTTCTCCGATCATGAGTCCGACGCGATGACCGGAGACCTCCGTGGCAAGATGAGCGCAGGGCACGTAAGGTGAAGTACGCTGATGCTTAGGTGATATCCCTTCTGTTTCCGTTCCATTTTCTTCACTCAATTGTGCCGCAGCTTACAGACAAGCGTTAGCGTAGAATGATTTCGGTTGAACTCCGTACTTGGTTCATACTCATATATTTTGGCGTATTGTATAGGATCTTCTAACTAAGGAAAACTGAGATATGTGGCGGATATTATCCTCGGTGTGAAGTAATTTTACGGTCTGAAACTCTTCCTGCAGGATGGACGCTCGTCGTTCACGGTTCAGCCCGTAAATCAGAGAGTCATGTGACAATGTGCCGAACATCCGAATATGTGCGGCACTAGTGCCGCACGCGGTGTGCCGCTGTTGGCAACAATGTGCCGTAGATGTCATCAAAGTGTCGCACATGGAATGCATGTGCCGGACTTGGCGTGTGCCGTGTGTCGCGTCTGGACAATCCCGGGCGAGTCCCAGTCCCATTCTTCTAGTATAGACTCTTATATTGTAGAGGAATTTGTAGTGTCCCGAAGCTTTTCACGGCTTACGAAATGATCCATTATTGTCTGGAACGACAAAGAGGGATATTAGCGTCATCTGTTCACTTGGAATACGGAGACTAACATGTGTGTAAATTCGCCCGATTGGGAGGGTAAACAGCGACGTCATGTACGTGTCAGCCGAGAAGCGGGAGGAAAAGAGGATTCCCAGTGCAAATACGGCTGATACTACGTTAGATGCTTCACTATGGAGTGCCAGACTACTCACCTGTGAAGAAACCTGATCGCACTGCGGTACGAATCAAGCGATTGAACACCTTATCCGTCCTTGCGAACGTTGTTTTCGATTTTGTGTAAACAACGGTGAGCACAACTCAAATTAGGACCTTAGCCCGCAGTGTCATGCGACAAGGAATAGATACAGCTCACCAGCGATGATCACGTCAATGGCACACTGAAGCGCAGAATTGACCATAATGATTGACTGCAACAATACGAGGTTGGCCTGTCTGTGGCTTTGAAATGACATTGGTCCCGGCAACTGTTGTGCCGTTAGGAGAGGAGGATATGTACGCACTCGGAAAATGTCCACGCCTCGATTGCAGCGGCAACGCCCGTTCCACAGGCCACCACAGAGGTTGCCACCAAGAACCCGGTGAGAATTTTGTTTCCGGTGAACAAATATATCCTCCACGATTGTAACATTTGATTTGTGATTGCGAGGATGGCCCCTGCTGTAAGGGGTTGAGTATGGATGAGGCGAATGGGATTTGTCTTACTAAGACCTGCGAAGGAATACGGCCATAGAAAGACTGAATAAACGGATTCAGCTGGGTTCTCTTCTGCGGTAGAGAATTCTTACTGGCAACCACTCGAGGGTTTGCAAAGTTCCTATACAAATAGATGAGCTCCCCACCATCGCTCTCAAATGCTTTACGAACGTAACACAGTAGAACCTGGATGTAATAACAGTCAACAATCGATCCAGCGACATGTTGAGAAATTTACCATGACATGTACACGACGGCACCAGCCTGGGTAGTGTTGACTATAAACAAAAAAGCCACCAATAATCTGCAAATTCATGAGGTTGCGCGAACGACAGACAAGGAATTGGTTACTTGATCCACCGTGGATCTTGGTACCCTAAGACATTTCCAGGTTTGGGATTCGAAATGTGTGGATCAAACATCGCCAGAAAACGCACCTGCAATCCAGTATGTAAAAAACTGGGACATGATTAACCCCGTGAGGTACGTGTTGACTGAAGTTAAGCACTCAGGGTTCTTTCAGCGGAGAGGCAGCCAGAAACTCACCGGTCACACCCATCAGGGCAAACCCTGGAAAGTAAAGGTGAAGACCTTGTTAGCCGTGAAATGAATCAAGCAATGTAGAACGAACCGATAGTTTGATCGTACTCCCCCATAGCTGGTATGAACACAAAAACAGAAAAATACTATAGTGCGGAGATGTCAAGGGCAAGAAATGGACAGGCGAGTGCCGAAATTGCATATGAATGAGGATCTTTAAGGCATCGATGAAGCTGACGTACAATATGGACATACGGGTGGTTCGTGGGAAGCAAAACAACGCCGACGTTAAATTCCGAACCCTGCAGATCGTAAACACGATGTAGAAAAAGAAAAACCCTGACCAGCCCTGGCTTAGTAACTGCTAATGTGACGGCTCACCTGGATTATACGCCACATCTCCATGGCTCATGTCGTAACGTGTGACGAGAGCCACGGCAGGTCGGAGTCGTAAGCACTCCGGAAAATCCGGAGTTTCGGGGGCCTTGATAACGTTCCCGAAACCTTCCGTTTCGGGAACAGGTGTCGACCT